TTTTTGACCAATCAGACGCGAGTCGCCGACATCCTGAATCAGACCTTTGCTGACGCCCGTATCACCGCGTTGGGGCTGGATATAGCCGAGATTCTGCGCCTGAACCTCCCACCCACACATTTTGCTCGCATTTGGTACTACAACAAGGGCTATCCTGCAAGCGTTGCCTATCTGAACCTTCTACACAACCTCCAACTCCGTATGTTGCTTCCTGAAAACATTGTCAGTAAAAAGCCAGGAGCCGATTGTTCTGATTTTGCAATCCTTGCATCTACACAACCAATGTCGCCAGGCAGGGTCAAATCGAAGGCTGTAATGATGCTTGAAATGTCAAAATCGATCGGCAGTGTCCTCGCACTGTCCTATGTGCCCGCTAGCTTCGTTGTCTTTCTCATTCGTGAGCGTTGTGTGGGCTCAAAGAGTCTGCAATTCATGTCAGGTCTGAATCGTAGCATATACTGGCTCTCAACCTACCTGTGGGATGTTTGCAACTTCCTTGTCCCCATGACCATAATTACTTGCATATTTCTCGCCTTTCACGAAGAGGCCTACGTGGGCGCGGAGAGTGTGGGTGGTTTCATTGCACTGATAGTTATGTATGGTGTCTGCAACATCCCCCTGGTGTACCTCTTTACCTTCGTCTTCCGCGTGCCAAGTCTGGCCTTTGTGGTCCTGCTGGCAACGAATCTCATGATTGCAGTGATCACCTCCATGACTGTTTTCTTCCTGGACATGGTGCAATCTGACGACCCCTCGTTGAAGCCGGTTAACGAGGTCCTGAAGGAGGTCTTCCTCATCTTCCCGCAGTACGCACTTGCCAGGGGCTTCTACGACATGTCTCTGAGGCATGCGATTCGGAGTCTACAGCTGGAAAAGTTCTTTAATACGCAACTCTTCAGTTGGGGCCTGCTCGGCGGAAAGATCACCATTCTGCTGACGGAGGCCGTCATCTTCGTTGGGGCCGTGCTTCTCATTGAGTACAAGTCTGCAAGCTGTCGCTGTTGTGGACGAAAGAAGTATGCCACCGCCTCCTCCGTGGAAGCGTGGATGGATGAGGGTGTGATGGAAGAGTGGATGCGGGTCTATAAGGTGAGTTATGGTTCTTATAGGAAGGCATTTTTACTTACCTGGTGTGTGGGTGCGTCGTAGCTCATTGTTGGATCAGGAGTCCCCCGCCAGAATCCAAACTGGTAGTAGTTGGAAGACGGAGAAAAGCCAAGACCTCGA